CACGGCAAAACCCGGTCTGCACTAAAAATACAAAACCTAGCCGGGCATGGTGGCAGGTACCTGTCATCCCAGCTACTCAGGAGGCCGATGTGGGAGAATTTCGTGAACATGGTGGAGGTTGCAGTCAGCTGAGATCGCGCCACTGCACTCCAGCCTGGGCGACAAACTGAGACTCTACCTAAAAACAATCAATAAACAGCGAGGGGGCTGCCCTGGCCTGGGATCCCAAGCCTCATGCCATCTCTCCTCCTGCTGCCCTCACCTGCCCCACTCCTCTGAGGGGCCTGGGACCCAGAGGCGAGGCAGCTGCCCCCACAAGTGTGGGGTGGGAGCGACCTCCTGGGACAGGCCTAGGGAAGTGCTTCCCACCTCTTCCGGGAGCAGGCGTGTGGCCTCTGCACCTGGATGGAGTCTGCTGTGACAAGAGTCACGCCCCATGGGTCACAACAGTCACACCAGCATCTCTCGTCCCACTCCCCTGGGCTGCCTTTCCCACTCATGACCGACAGCCTCGGTCCTTACCCCACGCCCTCTCCAGGGAGGCCAGGGCTCTACCCCAGTGCAGCCGGAAGTACAGCAGATGTGATTCAAGGGAGAGCTGGCTGTTTTCTGGGTTTTCTGGAGACAAGGTCTTGATATCACCCAGGCTGGAGTGCAGTGGCGCGATCTCGGCTCACTGCAACCTCCTGCCTCCCGGGTTCAAGCGATTCTCCTGCCTCAGCCTCCTGAGTAGCTGGGATTACAGGCGCGCACCACTACACCCAGCCAATCTTTGTATTTTTAGAGAAAGGGTTTCACCACGTTTGCCAGGCTAGTTTTGAACTCCTGACCTCAGGTGATCCACCCGCCTCAGCCTCCCAAAGTGTTGGGATTACAGGCGTGAGCCATCGCGACCAGCCAGAGCTGGCCGTTTTCAGCGTGATGTGACCTGAAACTGTCTCGTGCTTCATGGTGCAGGGAAGCCTCTGGGCCACCCCAGAAACACAGCTGGGGGTGACAGGAGGGGCCCTGGGCAGGGCGGGCAGGGGGCTGCCCCAATTCCCTGTGCAGGAGACACACTGGAGGCTCTGAGCAAGGCTCTGAGCAAGAGACAGCCCCACACCTGAGGCATGTGCCCTGAGCAGTCAGCGCTCTGGGGCCAGGGCTGCCTTAGTTGGTGGGGGGAGGGGCCACTGCGGAGGGCCCCGAGAAGCGGCTCCCTGTGGGCCCAGCATGGAGCTCAGGCTGACCCTGCCGAGAGCGTCCCAGCACCTTACAGGCACAGGCTGGCACAGGGCCCCAAGCAGTGGCGGCGGCCAGGGACTCTGGGCAGGGGGAGAAGGGGCCGTGGAGCCTGGGGGACTCAGAACCCAGCCGGACTTCAGGACAGTGCCTGGGGGACGGCCGGCTCACGCTGGCCACCTGGGGTGTGTCCTGCCTTGTCCTATGCACTTGCTACTGACGTAGGTGGTGACAGGACAAAAAAAGGGTGGCAATACTGGGGTCAGAGGTCCCTGCCCCACCACAGGCAGGCCGGCCCGGGGAAGGAGGCTCACTGGGCCCCACCTGCCAGAGGGGAGCTTGTGAGGCCAGGAGCCAGGCAGGCCCAGCCCCTCGTGCCATCCCTGCCCACTGCAGGGCTGCCCACAGAGCGCTGGATACGCTGTTCTGGTGGTCCCAGCCCCTCGTGCCGTCCCTGCCCACTGTGTGGCTGCCCACAGAGCACTGGATACGCTGTTCTGGTGGCTGGTGGTCCCGGCCCCTGGTGCCGTCCCTGCCTGCTGTATGGCTGCCCACAGAGCGCTGGAGACGCTGTTCTGGTGGTCCCGGCTCCCCACTTTGAGTCCTCGCTGAGGCAGCACAAAGGGGTGCCCCACCCAGCCAGGCCAGTCCAGCTCCCAGACAGACCAACCCAGCAGACAGCTGCACCCACGCACCAGTCACGGGCGGCACGGTCACCTGCACCTAGAGCCGGCACTCAGAGGACAGGAGAACGGTGAGGTGCATCCTCTGGCTGCAGGGCCACCGCCCCTCACTGCCACTGCTCCCACTGGCATGGGCGCGGGAGTTAGCCCTTGGGAGATGCAGCTTCCCTTCTACCCAAGCAGGCCAGGTAGGCCTCGACTTCCTCATCTGTAAAATGGACACTCCACTCACCTCCCGGGAAGCCCCACAGCACAGGTCCCAAGAGAGCTCCCGAATGAGGAAGAGACCTGGAGCCTCCCTACCGCAGGCCTCCTGCCGGAGCGAGCCAAACTCCAGCTGTGCCGGCACCCACAGGTTCTCTCACGTGGCTGCCGGGGGGAACACTCGCAGACGGCGGGATGGAGAGGTGGACCCGGCACGCCTGATGCCAGAGCTCAATCCAGCACAAGCCCTAGCTGGGAACGGGACTCGAGACTGGCCTAGGACGCAGCCCACGGCCGCCCGCAGCCGCCCCCAGCACACTCAACGGGACTCGGGCCAGGACCTCCTTCACATGGGCTCCGTGTCCCCTCTGGGTTCAGGGAAAGATAGCCCTGCGGGCTGGCCTGCCCACCACCACCAAAGGGCCGCAGCCCCTGCCAGGCTGTGCCCAGCACTCAGCCCCAAAAGCACCCACAGTGCTGCCTGCAGTCAATATCTGCCCTCCACCAGGCCTTGTTCAAGGCCTTGATGGACCATGAGCTCCTGGGGGCCTGGGGCAGCTCCATGGAGATGCAGAAGACACAAAGCTAAACCCCCAACAGGATCCCCCTCTCCAGACGCCCCCGGCAACGCCGGCTGTCCCCAAGTTCAGCTTCCAACCCTCCCAGGGGCTCTGCAGATGTGTCTGGTGGGGGGCCTGCCTCTCAGATGTGCATTGACCGCCCCCCCCCCAACTCCCCACAGACACAGTGCCCGCCCCCTGGCTGCCACACCACGGGACTGCCCCAAATCCCCAAATTAATGGCTGGCGTACTAGCTTCCCCTAAACCTGGGATGAGCAACAGGGAGACTTTCAATTAAAAACCCTCACCTACTTCCTTTGTAGCCCAGAGTAATTACCGTATTATTAAAGAAGACGAGAAGAAAAGAAGAAAGCAAAATCAGCAATCCCACGAAATCTGCCTGCACAAAGTGTTGCACCATGGCGGGCCATCCTACAAACGGCATGGCCTCAGACCTGCCCAGAGCCCGGGAAACGAGGCGCTGGTCCTGCAGCTCCCTTAAAGGAACCAGAGAGGAGGAAAATCAGTCAGGAAAGGAAGCCCCTTTACACACAAGAAGGTCCGACTGCACAGCGGGCACAGTCAATTCAGAGGACCACCGGGGTTCCGACTCCCATGGGGGTGGAGGGAGTACAGCCGGCTCCTCCCACATCTCACCCTACCTGCCTGCGGCATGTCCTGCAGGACACCCAGCTGGCCTCTCGGCCCCCGGACCTGGCCCTCCCACTGGGACCCCACCCCAACCCCGGCTACCCGGCATGCAGGCCTCCCATCCCCTCCCATCTGTGAAGGAGCTGCTCTCAGAGCTCACTGCGGGGGGCTGAGCAAAACACTCTGGGCCCTGGAGACGTCAAGGCAAGCGTGCGCGTGCCTGCACACACTCCCGGGGGCTGCCTGCCTGGGAAACTCATCAGTAGGCACGGCCGGGCCCAGCCCAGAGCGTTTTGTTCTGGTGGTGGACACGCAGAGAAAAGAAAAACTTCACCGGTGACAACCGCAAACTTCCCCCTTCCGAACCTGGGGCCCTGGCAAAGTCTGTCCTCTGCCCAGAGGCACCCCAGGTCGGGCTGGGCTGTGCAGGGCAGAGTAGCCCGGGTGCTTCCATCCCCAGCTGCCCCTCCAGCCCCCTCCCGAATCCGAGCGCCGAAGGCCTAACTGGGTTTTTCCCCAAGACGGGAACCTTTGTACCTTCCGGCTCAGCTCCCACACCCAGGAAACAGCAACGATGCTCCTGCATGTCCTGGGGTGTAGAGGCAGACCCTGGAAGGCAGAGCCCCACCAGATGGACAGGTGGACAGCCCTGGGACCCACAGTAGAGAGCAGCGAGGGAGAAGATGCTGGACTCCACCTACACAGACAACCCTCCGGCCGTTTCCTGCAAACAATGCCATCCGGAGCCCACAGGAATAAGAACCAGCTGTCCCAAAGCCATTCTAGCTCAGGACGCAACAGTCCCCGAATGTCCTCTCAGCCCCCACGCCCCCCAACAGGAAAGTCTTCCCCCAAGAAAGTTGGAAGGGAGGAGCCGCGCGGGGATCGGGGATCGGCGTGACCACCGCAGGCCCCGCTCAGACATCTCACCCTCCCTCCCAGATCCGTGCGTTCCCGGAAAACAAAGCCGGTGGCCAGAGCGGAAGGGGGAGGGGGCGGCGAGCCCAGCCGGGAGTTCCCGGGCAGTGCCGCAACAGGTCCCTGCGGATCGGACCCCTTCCTCCCCCCACCACTCCCCTGCTCTCCCCCTCAAGAGCGTCAGGACTACAAAGTGTGGAGGGGGGCGCAGCTGCGTGGGGAGGGGCCAGGCCACGGCAGGAGGTGGCGACGGGGCCAGGTGGGCAGGGGCAACGAGACCAGAACGCGGGAGGTGTGAGGGACAAGGGTGAGTGGGCGGTGGGCTTGAGCACCAGGTAGGGGAAAAAAGCGGAAGGTGCGGTGGGGGGCTAAAGACTCAGCAAAGGGCAGGAGAGTTGGAGCACGGCAGTCACCGGGTGCAGAGTGGGGGGTCACTGGGGCCGCGAGGGCAGGGTCTGGAGTGTGAGGGTCCCTGGGGCGGCGGAGTCGTGAGTGTGGAGATCAGCGTGGAGCTATCTCTGGAGCTCCTGAGCGCGGCGTCGGCGGAGTGGGGGACGCTGGGGTCCCGAGTGCAGGGTCAGAGGGGTGTTGCAGCCGTGGGGCCCTGAGCGTGGGGCTCAGCGTGGAGGGCCGTTAGACGGGGTGGGCGATGGGGTCCGGAACGCAGGGGGCAATGGACCCTGTGTGGGGGCGGGGGCGCCGGGGGCACCGAGGGCCGCGCGCAGGGGGTGTGGGGGCCGGGCCGGGCGCGCGCGTCGTTACCTTGGCTCCGCTGTGGCCGGGCCCGTGGGCAGCGTCTGGGCGGCCGGCCCCGGCTCAGCAGCGCGGCGAGGACCCCCTCTCCGGGCCCCGCGCCCGCTCGCGCTTCGGCTCCGGCGCCCGCTCGGGCCCCCGCTCCGGCTCCCGCGCCGCCTGGACCGGCCTCCGCATGTTCGGGGCGGGAAGCGCCGGGCTCGCCGCGCTCCGCCGCGCCCGCTCCGGGGCCCGCGCGCCTTACGCCGCCAGCGTCGGCCAGCGGGGGGCGGCGGCCATACGCGCCTCACTGCGCAGCCGCGGCCAGGGCGCCGGGGGCGCGCGCCGCCGACGTCACAGCGCGGGGAGGGGCCAACGCCAGGCAGGGCGTCAGTCGCGCCGCTTTGCGACAGTGGGTGGCGCCGCGCGACAGCCACCGCGCTTTGCGGCCGCTCCGGGACCGCCGGACCGCTGCCCGCGGGGAACACCGAAAGCGCGCGGCCGCGGGGACGGACGCCGGCGGGAAAGGCGTCGAGAGGTTTCCACATCCGCCTGGGGGTGGGGTTTCCGCCGCCCGTGCCGCCCCACCCGCTGTTGCCATGGCGACGCGTGGCTGGTCGCCTTGGCACCGCCCCGCCGCGTGTGTGACGTCACGGTCTCGCCACCTGACGTCACGGGCGGGCGGCGCCGCGGGGCGTTGCCTGCGTGGGGCGGTGGCGGGCGAGGCGCGGCGAGACGACGGTCTGCGCGCGCGGGGCTGCGAGGTTTCCGGGGCAGGGGCTGCGAGGTTTCCGGGGCAGGCGCTGCAAGGGGCGGGCGCCCGGCCAGGAAATGAGCTGATTAAGGGCAAGAGGGTTTTCCCTCTGGCTTTCCTGGGCCAGGAGGGGAAAACGGTTCTAGAAGAACTGCTCGGTGTCCAGGAGTACAACAGCGGAGGCGTGGGCGGCCGACAGCGGGTCAAGTGCACTGCGGGGCCCGCCATGCCACGCATGCGGCTCTGCGCGTGGAGCGCACTCCCTGCCCGAGCGCTGCCTGCCTCCCGCCTGCACCGGGCAATACACATGGGGAGGGGACCCACAGGCCCAGGCCCCGCACAGGGAGGCCCCGTTTCGCCCCGTGACAGTGCCCGGAAGGGGACCTGCAGCAGCTAAAGAAATGGTTCCCGGCCTCCCCGCATCCCCCACGCACCTCCCGGTGGGGCTTTTTTAAAGTCCGAGGAGACGCGTTCATTCAAACATGTATTAAGTGCCTGTCAGTGGCTCTGAGAATAGCACAGTGAGCTAGACTCTTGGCATCGTTTCCCAGGGAGTCCTTGGTCCTAGGGGGAGGAGACAGCCCTCTGATGATTTCAGATGATGATATAAGGTAGGACGTAGGGCGGGGACGTTGTAATCCCAGGACTTCGGGACGCTGAGGAAGGAGGACACTCGGTTGAGCCCAGGAGCTCAAGACCAGCCTGAGCAACAGAGTGAGCCCTTATCTCTACAAAAAATACAATTAGGGTGTGGTGGCGCATCCCCGTGGCCCCAGCTACTTGGGAGGCTGAGCCAGGAGGATTGCTTGAGCCCAGGAGGTCGAGGCTGCAGTGGGCTGTGATTGTCCCACTGCACTCTAGCCTGCCTGACAGAGCAAGACTGTCTTAAAATAGTAATATTAAATGAAATCCTGGCCGGGCGCGGTGGCTCACGCCTGTAATCCCAGCACTTTGGGAGGCCGAGGCGGGTGGATCACAAGATCAGGAGTTTGAGACCAGCCTGGCCAAAATGTTGAAACCCCGTCTCTACTAACAAAATACAAAAATTACCTGGGTGCGGTGGCACGCGCCTGTAATCCCAGCTACTCAGGAGGCTGAGGCAGGAGAATCGCTTGAACCCAGGAGGCGGAGGTTGCAGTGAGCCGAGATCGCGCCATTGCACTCCAGCCTAGGTGACGGTGAGACCCTGTCTCAAAAAAAAAAAAAAAAAAAGAAATCCCTGTACTTTGGGAGGCTTTGGCAAGTGGATCACTTCAGCCCAGGAGTTCGAGACCAGCCCAGGCAACATGGCAAAACCCCCGTCTCTACAAAAAAAATACAAAAAAATGGGCATAGTGGCATGCATCTGCAGTCCCAGCTGATTGGGGAGCTGTGGCAGAAGGATTGCTTGAGCCTGGGCAGGTTGAGGCTCTAAGAAGCTGTGATCAAGTCGGGTGCAGTGGCTGACACCTGTAATCCCACTACTTTGGGAGGCTGAGGCAGGCAGATCACCTGAAGTCAGGAATTTGAGATCAGCCTGGCCAACAGGGAGAAACCCTGTCTCTACTAAAATACAAAAATGAACCGGGCTTGGTGGTACACGTCTTTAGTCCCAGCTACTCTGGAGGCTGAGGCAGGAGAATCACCTGAACCTGGGAGGTGGAGGTTACAGTGAGCCATGATGGTGCTATTGCACTCCAGCCTGGCGACAGAGCCAGACTCCATCTCAAAAAAGAAAGAAACCAACGGTGGTATGTGGCACAGTGCCTGAGGGAAAGACACCTTCTCTGGCTGGATGGTGAGGGAAGACCAGACCCTGAAGGCTAAGCTAGATGTGGTAAGATTGGGAGGAAGATTTCATCATCTCCTATGACAGTCCTGCGGTATTCGAGCCAGATAGGAATGCAAAGAAAAATGGAGGAGGATTCTACCGGAGTGGGAAGGCTGAATGGCAGCGTTGTACGGGCTGCACTGAGCTCCGGGAGATGCGTGTTGCAGCTCTTGTCTTGCTGCAATGTGAGAGGCAGGCAGTCCTCCCTGCACCCCTGTGCTCTGACAGCCTCACGTGGAATGCGACTCCTTGGAGAAGCTCTAGCAAGTACCCCTGCTATCCTTTGCCAGTACGTCGGGGTCTCCCCTCTGTCCGGATCCACGCTGTGAAGGAGTGCGTTTATTTCATGTCAGTCTCCTCCAGCTAGGCCTGTAGGACCCAGCAAAAGGGCTGGCACACAGCAGGCACTCAGTCTAAATGGGGCAGCCATATGTGGCGAGCGAATGAATGAATGAATGAATCAACGCCACAGACCTCCCAGAATTCTCAGACCCAGGTTCCCTGGCCTGTCTCCTCTCTCCTCTCCCACTCTTGTGTTTCTGAGACAGGGTCTCACTCTTGCCTGGCTGGAGTTCAGGGGTGCTACAATCATGATTCCCTGCAGCCTCGACCGCCCAGGCTCAAGCGATCCTCCTACCTCAGCCTCCCAAGGAGGTGGTACTACAGGCAAACACCACGACTGCCTAATTTTTAAATTTTTTATAAAGGTGGGGATCTCGCTATGTTGCCTAGGCTGGTCTCGAACTCCTAGCCTCAAGTGATCCTCCCACCTTGGCCTCCCAAAATGTTGGGATTACAGGCATGAGCCACTGCATCCCTTGGCTTCTCTCCCACGCTCAACCTTCAGGGACACCTGCTTTCGAGCACTCATGCCCGGCCTCGGTTTCGGAGCATAGGGACCTCAGGTATGTGTACTTTTTTTTTTTAAGACAGAGTTTCGCTCTTGTTGCCCAGGCTGGAGTGCAATGGCACAATCTCGGCTGACCACAACCTCCGCCTCCTGGGTTCAAGCGATTCTCCTGCCTCAGCCTCCCGAGTAGCTGGGATTACAGGCATGTGCCACCACACCCAGCTAATTTTGGTATTTTCAGTAGAGACAGGGTTTTTCCATGTTTGTCAGGCTGGTCTCCAACTTCTGACCTCGTGATCTGCCCACCTCGGCCTCCCAAAGTGCTGGGATACAGGCATCAGCCTGGCCTGGTACGTGTACCTTAATGGTGAGTTCCGGCTGTGTCCCTGTAAAAGGGTGTAACTGAAAGAATGCACACAGTGAGGCCAGGCTGGGGCTGTGCTAGCCAGAAGCTGTGTGACTGTGGGAAGCTCACTCATCCTCTCTGGCCTTTTCATCTTTGTGTGTAAATTTGGGATGATGGCCCCCACAGGTATGTCATGGGAATTCATGAATGAATGAATGAAAAATTGTCAGCATGGGACTTTCAGCCTCAAATAAATCGATTTCTGTTTAATCATTTGGGATCTTTTTTTTCTTTCTTTTGAGATGAGTGGGATCTCGGCTCACTGAAACCTCTGCCTCCCGGGTTCAAGCAATTCTCCTGACTCAGCCTCCCAAGTAGCTGGGATTACAGGTGCCCGCAACCACACTTGACTAATTTTTGTATTTTAGCAGAGACTGCGTTTCGCCATGTTATCCAGGCTGGCCTCGAACTCCTGACCTCGTGATCCACCCGCCTCAGCCTCCTGAAGTGTTGAGATTACAGGCGTGAGCCACCTCGCCCAGCCTCACTTGGGATCTTCGAAAAAGCAAATGGCCTGTCATGCTTTTTGGCATTTTTCTTTTTTGAGACAGAGTCTCACTCTGTCGCCTGGCTGGAGTGCAGTGGCATGATCTTGGTTCACTGCAACCTCCCTCTCCCAGGTTCAAGAGATTCTCCCGCTGCAGCCTCCTGAGTAGCCGGGATTACAAGCGCACGCCACCACACCTGTCTAATTTTTGTATTTTTAGTAGAGACAGGGTTTCACCATGATGACCAGGCTGGTCTTGAACTCCTGACCTCGGTGATCCACCTGCCTCGGCCTCCCAAAGTGCTGGGATTACAGGCGTGAGCCGCCGTAGCCAACCTTGCTTTCTCATTTTTAACCCACTTCAAATGTGGTCCACATGTTCCCGATTCATTTCACTCATAATCATGAGGACATCATTGGGGACAGCTGGGGGGGTGGGTGACAGCCCCTTTGGGGGTGTTTTTTTGAGACAGGGTCTTTGTCACACAGGCTGGAGTGCAGTGGCACCATCTCGACTCACTGCTGCCTCTACCTCCCTGGGCTCAAGCAGTCTTCTCACCTAAGCCTCCCGGGTAGCTGGGATCTCAGACACGCGCCACCATGCCCGGCTAATTTTTTTTTTTTTTTTTTTTTTTTCAGTAGAGACGGGGTTTCACCATGTTGGCCAGGAGGGTCTCGATCTCCTGACGTCGTGATCTGCCCGCCTTGACCACCCAAAGTGCTGAGATTACAGGCGTGAGCCACCAAGCCCAGCCGGCCCAGCTAATTTTTTGTATTTTTTTATAGAGATAGGGTTTCACTTTGTTGCCCAGGCTGGTCTCAAACTCCGAAGCTCAAGCCGTCCACCTGCCTCAGCCTCCCAAAGTGCTGGGATTACAGGTGTGAGCCAACACACCTGGTACCCTTTGATGTCTTAATCAAATAAGAACACTGGAAGGGGGCCGGGCGCTGTGGCTCAAGCCTGTAATCCCAGCACTTTGGGAGGCCGAGGC